TTATAGGACCTGCACACTTATGATATTATGATTGTCACAGCTTCCATATGCAATGAAAAGAACAGGGATACTAAACAACAACGTAATTATTAAATAAATAAAAACATCTAAGGTCTTCCCTGATAACCACTCTGATGCTCTGTTTTCTTTTGATATATAGAATTTTTCTTTTAAAATCTTTTTTGCTATCTTGGCTTTGCTGGTGCTCTATATCTTGGTCCATCTAATAGATAAACCAGCATGAAATAACAGAAGACAAGGGACAAGCATACCTGTATTTTCTGTTCAAAAAATGCTAAAGCCAGAAATTCCAGACCTATGATCTTGATGTTAAAACACAACAAAATTCAAGAATAGACTGCCAAACAGGTGACTTAGTAGCATTAATAAAATAGAGATTAGTTGCAGCCAAAATAGGTTCAGAGATACTAAGTCAGGTTCATAATACTGAATTACTAAACTGGTGAATTTAATAGAAAATGATGTGTGTGAATGTGTCTGTCTGTGCATATTTTTTAATGTGAATAAAAATTTGATAGTATTTCTTCATGTATATGAATACAACGAAATAAAGCAAGCTAAATAGCAGTGAATCATGTGAATTTTTAACTGCTTGACTAGGCTAATCGACACTCAGATAAGGTTGGCCCTCATCTTTTTCAGGGGTTTTATCATTGACTTAGATTAGACAGCAAAAAAATGATAAGCAAATTCAACAAATGTCAGAGTAAGGCCCAATATTATACTGAACACTGAAATTTAGAGGTTAATAAAACATAGTCCCTGGTCTCAAATAACTTACTTTCCTCTGTGGGAGTTTGTGTATGTATGTGTGTTGGTTGTAATAGTAATAGTGATGTGTGTGGACTCTGGAGTTAGTAAGCAACTAGATTGCTAGATCAACAATTTAATAGCCATGGGACTTTAGACATGTACCCTAAATTCTTTGTGCCTTAATTCATTTTATATAATATGGGAATGATAAAAGCACTAGATCATGATGTTGCATGTGGATTAAAAGACAGAGCACATGTGTGGCAGAGCCTACCAGCTGTCCATCAAACTCCACCCTTCTTTAAGACCACAGTTAGACCTCATTAGCCCAGGTGCCCATCCAGTTAGCCATGGCCGTGGGTCTAGATTGTTTCCAGAATAACAGAAATGGACATAATCAATATATGAAACTTCTAGATCTGGCCTACATAAACTTCCTGCATGCCCTTTTTTCCTCTGGATGATTGTACTGGCAGTCACAGTCATGGGAGCCTTAGAAGCCACTTATGTCATGTTTGTAAATGGTAGAACTTCTGACAGACTGTGCCCATAAATGATTGTATGTGGGGTATGTGTGTGTGTGTGTTATCAGGGAGTGAGGATAGACATATAAACAGATCATTTCAGTGCATTTTAGTATATTCTGTAATGGAGCCATGGGAGCATGGAGAAGAGTTACATAAATTAATAATAACTTGGGGAGCAAGTGAGGAGAAAAGGCATAAATAAGAGAAAGATTTCTAGAAAAAGTGAGCTTAACCTATGACTTGAAATACAAGTAGAGATTTACCAGAGAAAGAGGGGAAGAAATAACATCCTCAAGAGAATGAAAAGCATTTTTAAAGGAAAAGAGGCATGAAATTATATGATATATTCTGAGAATTTCTAATACTTTCAATATAGAGTATAAAATGTAATTCAAGTAATAGGAGATAGTGTTGGGCATAAGGAAACACACCAAATCACAGAGGGCCTCCTATGCAAGGATAAAATTTTTTTTTAAATTTTTTTTTTTATTTTGGCATATTATGGGGGTACAGATTTTAAGGTTTCAATACATGCCCATTTCCCCCCTCCCCCCAAAAGTCTCAGTCTCCATCATGACCATCCCCCAGATGGTGCACATCTCATTATGTATGTATATACCCGCCTGCCTCCCCCCTCCCACCTGCCCAATACCCTATTACTGTAGTACCTATGTGTCCACTTAGGTGCTACTCAGTTAATAACATTGCTGGAGAATATACTGGTGCTGTTTTTCCATTCTTGGGATACTTCACTTAGTAGTATGGATTCCAGCACTAACCAGGAAATCAGAGTGCTATATCACCATTTTCTTAGAGCTGATAGTACCCATGGATACATATACCACATTTTATTAATCCATTCTTGGATGATGGGCACTTGGGCTGTTTCCACAGCCTTGCAATTATGAATTGTGCTGCTATAAACATTCGAGTGCAGGTGTCTTTTTTGTAGAGTGTCACTGGATCAGGAGAACTATGAAACACTGAGGAAGGAAATAGCAGAGGTGTAAACAGATAAATCCATACCATGCTCGGTGGATCGGCAGACTCAATATCATCAAATGTCTATATACCCAAACTGATCTACAGATTCAATGCAATACCTATTAAAATCCCATCAGCATTCTTCACAGATATAGAAAAATAAATTTACGGCTTCGTATGGAACCAAAGAAGACCCGAATATCAAGAGCAATTCTAGGCAACAAACAAAATGGGAGGCATTAATATGCCAGATATCAAACTATACTACAAAGCTGTAGTATTAAAACAATTGGTATTGGCACAAAACAGGAATATTGACAGTGGAACAGATGTGAAATCCTGATATAAAACCATCCTCATATAGCCCATCCATCTGACAAAGCAGACAAAAACATACGCTGGGAAAGGAATCTCTCTCAATAAATGGTGCTGGAAAACTGGATAGCCACCTGTAAAGCGCAACAGAACCACCTTTCACCTCTCACAAAAACCAACTCACGCTGGATAACAGACTTAAACCTAGATATGAAACTATTAGAACTCTAGAGGAAAAAGTTGAAACACTCTCCTAGACATCGGCCTGGGCAAAGGTTTTGAAGAAGTCCCCAAAGGCAATCACAGCAGCACAAAAATAAATAAATGGGACATGATCAATAACAAAGCTTCTGCACAGCCAAAGAAATAGTCATGAAAGTAAACAGACAACCTACAGAATGGGAGATATTGTTGCATCCTATGCATCCGATAAGGGACTGATAACTAGAATACTTAGAACTCACGAAACAGGAGAAAACAAATAACCCATTAAAAGTGGGCAAAGGACTTGAACAGAACTTTTCTAAAGAAGACAGAAGAAGCCAACAAACATAATGAAGAATGCTCAACATCTCTAATCATCAGGGAAAGCAAATCAAAACCACAATGAGATATCACTTAACCCCAGTGAGAATGGCCTTTATCAAAAAATCTCCAAACAATAAATGCTGCGTGGTTGCGGAGAGAGAGGAACACTCCTACACTGCTGGTGGGACTGCAAACTAGTTCAACTCTGTGGAAAGCAATATGGAGATACCTTAAGCGATCCAAGTGAATCTACCATTTGATCCAGCAATCCCATTGCTGGCATCTACCCAAATGATCCAGTGACACTCTACAAAAGACACCTGCACTCGAATGTTTATAGCAGCACAATTCATAATCGCAAGGCTGTGGAAACAGCCCAAGTGCCCATCAATCAAAGAATGGATTAATAAAATGTGGTATATGTACACCATGGAGTACTATTCAGCTCTAAGAAACAATGGTGATATAGCACATCTTATATTTTCCTGGTTAGAGCTGGAACACATACTACTAAGTGAAGTATCCCAAGAATGGAAAAACAAGCACCAGATATATTCTCCAGCAAACTGGTATTAACTGAGTAGCACCTAAGTAGACACATAGGTGCTACAGTAATAGGGTATTGGCAGGTGGAGGGGGGAGGGGGCGGGTATATACATACATAGTGAGTGAGATGTGCACCATCTGGGGGATGGTCATGATGGAGACTCAGACTTTTGGGGGAGGGGGGAAATGGGCATTTATTGAAACCTTAAAATCTGTACCCCCATAATATGCCAAAATAAAAAAAAAAAAAGGAAGTTTTGTGACCCTGTTTTACTATCAGAGCGTGATCTTCCTGGTTGCGGCGGGGTCTCACCACTCCGGAATCACCCGGATTGCCACACTGAAGTGTCTATTCCCCCAAAATTTTACTGTCCCTGAAAGGGACTTGAATAGATATGATTTTGCTTAACTTTATTATATTCCAAGTGATGTTCTAGGGTTGTATATATATCGGCCTAGGGACTTATCTGACTTGTTTGCTTCTTTGTTTGGCTCAGATGTATTTTATTCATTTTATAAAATGATAGCATGATGGAATATTCCCTGTTTCAACAAATATTGCCCTAAAATATGGTTTTCAATGCAAGAATTGCAGCCCATGGGATCAAGGTGTCATAATGGATTTAAGCAAAGCATTAATATTGGCATATATATTTTTTCTATATCCTGATAATATTCAAAAATGTGTTATACTACTTAGGTATCTTTGTCTATAAATCTTTGCACATACATTGGGCTATTTCATTATGAGGGAATTATTAGAAAATAACTTGATAGTTCAGGCGAATATGAATATTTTCAGTTATCTGGTAGATACTTCCCTCCCCTGAAAATATTTTGGGAAAGAGTGTTCCTAGAAGATGGAACCTGAGACCATGAGGTAAGTATGTGTTTGATGCATTTCAGTGAAAACAAATTGGCTACTCTGACTGCAACAGAGTGAAAGAGAAGTGGTAGAAAATGAAGTCATAAAGAAGAAGTCATACCAGATACATATCTGGTATGCCACCAGATAATTGGGGTCATGGGGAGTATTGCTGCAGACCATGTAAGAACTTTGGTTTTGACTCTGAATGAGATGGAGAGCCAATGGAATGTTTTGAGCAGAGAATAGATACGATATAACAAGTTTTAACAGGGTCATTCTGGTAGCCTTATTGAGAAGAGACTGAGTGCTACAAGGGCAGAAGCAGTTAGGCTCATTATGAGAGCATCTCAATAATGTAGAACAGAGATATGAGAAGATGGGGGCTTGGACCAGAGCAATGGCAGTAGGTGAAGACATCACATTTTAATATATTTTAAGGGTGGAACTGGCTTGGTGCCGCCCGGGAGAACCAGGTCATCGGTCGGTTCCCGTGAAAACAAAAACAATCGGCGGCGCCGCCGCGGACACCCGAACGCCGCGAGCGGGGGCCGGGGACGTGGGGCCGGGTGGGGCGAGTGAGAGGGAGCGGCGGCGACGCGCCGGGGGGCCGGGGCGCCATGGGGCAGGCGGGCACTGGCTGCGCCGGGCTCCCCCGGCGCCGTGGCTAGCTCGCCCGCCGCCTCAGCCGCCCGCGCCGCCCGCCTGGGGGACGAGGAGCAGGACGCGGCCTCGGCGGGGCCCGGGCCGAACGGCTGCGGACACCCGGGCGCCGGGGAGCCGAGCGCCGCCGCCTCCGGCATGGATCAGTGCGTGACGGTGGAGCGAGAGCTGGAGAAGGTGCTGCACAAGTTCTCGGGCTACGGGCAGCTGTGCGAGCGCGGCCTGGAGGAGCTCATCGACTACACGGGCGGCCTGAAGCACGAGATCCTGCAGAGCCACGGCCAAGATGCTGAATTATCAGGGACACTTTCACTTGTTTTGACACAGTGCTGTAAAAGAATAAAGGATACCGTTCAAAAATTGGCCTCAGACCACAAAGACATCCACAGCAGTGTTTCTCGTGTTGGAAAAGCCATTGATAAGAATTTTGATTCTGACATCAGCAGTGTGGGAATAGATGGCTGCTGGCAAGCAGACAGCCAAAGGCTTCTAAATGAGGTGATGGTGGAACACTTCTTCCGACAAGGAATGCTGGATGTAGCTGAGGAGCTCTGCCAGGAATCTGGTCTTTCTGTAGACCCAAGTCAGAAAGAACCATTTGTGGAGTTAAATCGAATACTAGAAGCATTAAAAGTCAGAGTTCTAAGACCTGCTCTGGAGTGGGCAGTATCAAACCGAGAAATGCTTATAGCCCAAAACATCTCCTTGGAATTTAAGCTACACAGACTGTATTTCATTAGCTTGTTAATGGGAGGAACTACAAATCAGCGAGAGGCATTACAGTATGCTAAAAATTTTCAGCCATTTGCCCTAAATCATCAAAAAGATATTCAGGTTTTGATGGGAAGCCTCGTGTATCTGAGACAAGGGATTGAGAACTCACCGTATGTTCACCTGCTTGATGCAAACCAGTGGGCTGATATCTGTGACATCTTTACACGGGATGCTTGTGCCCTCCTGGGGCTCTCTGTGGAGTCCCCTCTCAGTGTCAGTTTCTCAGCAGGTTGTGTGGCATTGCCAGCTTTAATTAACATCAAAGCGGTGATTGAACAGAGGCAGTGCACTGGAGTTTGGAACCAGAAAGATGAATTACCTATTGAAGTGGACCTTGGTAAAAAGTGTTGGTATCACTCTATATTTGCCTGTCCCATTCTTCGTCAGCAAACAACAGATAACAAGCCACCCATGAAATTGGTCTGTGGTCATATTATATCAAGAGATGCCCTGAATAAAATGTTTAATGGTAGCAAATTAAAATGTCCATATTGTCCAATGGAACAAAGTCCAGGAGATGCCAAACAGATATTTTTCTGAAGAAGTAACTTTAGTTTGCAATTTGTAAGTGAAACTGAATTATGGGCACATTTCAGAAGAGAACGTTCCATTTAATGCAGCTAACCAAGGACTCCCGTGTTTATATAAGCTAATGCTCCAGAAACTTTGCCAACATATTAGTGTACACACACTGAGGGGAGTGCTCCAGATGAATATTATCATAGGGCTTTATTATATTCTTGGTCTTCATTTCTGATCAAGTAAATACACCAGCAGTTGTCATTCAATGCAGGTTTTTGTACTTAATTATATGGTGATTTTTTTACTTTTTAAGAGCAGAAACAGAAATTGACCTCCTCGCCATGTGTTTAATATTTCTCCTGCTTTTACTTTTGTCATTTTCTTGATAACTGTAAGCCTTGAGAGTGTTTGTGAAAAAGTTTTATTTCCTGTTATGTATACATAATTAAATGAAAATTCTTCAGAAAAAGTTTGATAAATTGAATTGTGGTTGTAAAACTAATTTACTTTTTTTTTTTTGCTTAAGGAAGAAAGCTGTGATAGATTCCAAATTTGCTTTTTGATGTTTCCCTCTGCTCCTCCTCCAAGAAGTCAGCACACCTGCATTTGAGCTCTGCTTGTAGCCCCAGCAGGCTGCCTGTTTAAAATTTCATCATTTAGCAGGCTGGTGTGAGAAGTCTTCCATTAGAATAGAGTGGAAAGGAGTACTATTGTTTTTTTGCTTTTATTGCCAAGAGGTGCTTGTTTTAAAAAGTTTGTTCAATAAAATGAAATTCTGAAGTTAGAAGTGTTCTTAAGTTGATATTTGCTCTCTTGGTCTTGGTAGCCCTATTCTCTGAAATCTGCCTTCAGGACTTGGCTATCTATTGCATTTGTATATCATTGCAGACACAGTGTTTGTGCGTGTGTGTATATATGTGCACCAGCATCGAACATTGTGTATCTAGAAGGGAAGAAGCATGTTTCAGTCCTAAAATACAGTTACCAGACCCATCATTTTAAATCCTTAAAGTTAGAAGCTAGTATATTTTCTATAGTGCAGAATATGTTTATTGCTGTTTTGTGTTTGAATAGTATACTGTTCAATGCCTCTCTTCTGCAATGTGTATCATCTCATTGACTGTGAATCTGTATATTATTCTAATGGATACAGATAATAATCTTTTCTCTTATGAGGTAGCTTCATTTAATGCACTGTCCAGAAATAGCCATGTGTAAGGGTCTTTCTCTGTATGATGAACTACATGGAAAAGACTTCTATGGACATAATTCTGACTTAAACTCATGAAGTTACTTCATTATGAGAAGAATGTTATTTGGAAATCACCAAATATTTTACAACTTTATTTCATCTGACATGGAACTGAACATCAATATAGGAATACTTTCATGAGAAAATGAAAAAAGAAGAAAACAGAAGCAAAGAGAAATGTGGCACTTCACATTTTCTTATGGACTTAGTTTGAGGGAGGAGGGACAGATTTGGTGCTAATTGGAAGTTGGCAACATTTGCAGTAGTACATCAACCTGGATGGTTTATTCTGAGATGTTTACTTGGGAAAGCTAGGATTTGTTTATGAAGGAAAAGGGTACTGCAGAAAAGCCCTGCTTAATTACCATGTGGTCAGGCTTGTGTAGATGGCTACTATGTGCTCTGTGGGGTTAGCCAGGAATTGTGATTGGCCTGGCTCAGTGCTTGCCTTGTCCAACCTCATCTGGCCCCACAGCGAATTTCACCCCATGATTCTGCTTCATTGTTGGAACCCTCTGTAAAGTTCCCCCTCTCTCCACTAGAGCTGTGAAGGAAGAGAGCGGAGCAGAGACAGGCTCCTTGGACTGCAAAAGAGAAGGTAGAAAATCAGGCAACACTCTGGTCAAGAGTGTAAACTGGTTTATTATATATGTATTTTTTCCTTTCAATTAAAACCTAGAGTGTCATTTTAATTTTTTTAAAACCTTTTTCTCCCTAGGCCAAGTTTAGCTTTATTCAGAACTTATTCTCACCTTTCCACCCCAAACACCTATACAGCATTTAGACTTCACCAAGAGTTGAATGATAAAGATATGCTCTAGAGGTTGGTGATAAATATTTTTGGTAGCCAGACACTTCACACAGTTGGCTCAGGCCACTTTTAAGGACAAAGAGCAGAGCTTGTTTCGTCCCTTTCCCAGTGTTGGGAGTCCTACTGATAGTTTTCTGTGCAGCTCATGAAAACTTTACAAAGATCATGCTTTAACTGAAGCATTTGACTTTACAGCTTTCTTTGTAAGATCCTTGTACTCCTACTGGGCAGGGTGAGGGTCAAAAATTTGAAACTCTATTGGTCTGACAGTTTAACATGAAAATTTATGTCTTGTGACCTTCTTTAAGTGCATGGACTTAAAATTCATTGGAGACTAAATGTGAAGGGGAGAGGTGGATTTGAAGAGGCCAGATCTTAACCAAAGATGCTAAAGTACAGCATTCTGTCCTTCCTACTCTAGAAACACCTTCACCAATGGTGTTTTGACCATATCATCGCTCATGCTATCTGCATTTCAGCAGTGCAGGAGGATGCTATTTGTCTTTCTCTGCCTCCACTTGCAAAAGGTTATGGATGGTAGAGGCAAGGTTTTTTTTATAGTCAGACTAATTATAATAATGTACATTGAAAACAATTCAGAATGGTTTCTTAAATTTCTTTGGAAACCATTTCCATTTATCAGTTGTGGACGGAGGCCATGGAACTATGCTAAACCAATAAAACCTTATTATCAAATCTTTAGCCAGAGTATCTGTGTTTTCAGGTACAGTCTTTACAATGGCTAAGGTTGTCTTTTGATCTTTTTTCTCCCTGTGTAATCATTGCAGATGCCATTTCTGTTGTTTTATTGGTGATTATATGAGACTTCTAATACGTAAATGAACGGGTATTGGTGCCTCTTTGTTTTAAACATTTTGAAGAAAAGAGCCACCTCATATTCATAGGGTGTGTATTTTGTGAGTGTGTAGCATTTAATTGAAATTAAGAAAGTTATGAAATAAATCTTTTGTTTTAACTTTTCTGTAGCAGCTAATGTATACAGAGACACTAAAACCCACACCACATTTTGTGGGGAATGAGGATCCTTTTTTATCTCTCCAGGTGGTCCCACAGGTTATACAGTTTAAATTCAGTATTCTTTATGCTGTGAGTTATTTCAGCCTCATTGGTTTCAGCCTTTGGGACAGTGGATATTGTAAAAACCAAGAGCTCTTGGTTATCGCACAAGACAAGCTGCTGGTAGACTACATTAGCCCTCTGGTTTTCCAGCTCAACCTCTGATCAAGTGGACTGACAGCCATGTTGGCCAGTCTGTTTAGTCAGTTGACTCAGGTTATTTTCAGGGAAGGCATGGAGGCATAATGGTTTGTTTAGTTTCATCACTAAGATGTGTAAGGTGACAACACAAACCAAATACCTTTCATTACTTAACTCTACATGCATTATTTTTGGTAACACTAGAATGCTATGGTCTTGAGGAAACGTTAGTAAGGAACACACAGAGAAGGTTGGTGTTTTGTAAGCCTGTCCAACTATGGCAGGTTTTTTATGGTACAATAGTGTTTACTGTAAGCAGATACACACTTCATGAACTGTTTTTAATGAACTACAATTGAATAAATACCAAAAATAGAATGACAAATGCATTTTAATAACAGATGAGACAATTAGTTTTAGGGTGAATTTTCCGCTGTTTGATTTTACTTCAAGACGTAGTGAGAGAAACAAAAGTTTTTTTTTTCAAGACATTTCCGCTACAGTTTTAAACTGTACGGGGCATATGCTTCATTTACTTCCAAAGAGGCAAAAGCAGCTGGAATTGGCTTACAGCACATGCTTTGTTTCATGTTAGGGGTGAGGACCTACACTCTTATTTAGCAGTCACTTAACCTTCTTCAGTAAGGCAGATGTGGGGTTCACTAGGATTTAGTGCCTGATATTTTCTTTTGGGAAGGGGTGGGAGTGAATGTATTTGGGCTGGGAGGGAAGCAGAAGAAAATGGGAGCGTGAGTGAGTGTGCATGTGTCTGAAATTCACTATTTGCCCCACCTGTACCTAACAAGGAGCAGGTGATAGATGTATTTTGCTCATGACTGCAGTGTGCATGTATTTTTTTTCCTCCTCTGTGTTTTCTAAACTTACACTAAAAGGATTCATCAAATCATATTGTTCAGATGTCTCAGGATTGTATTTCTTTTGCTTACCCTGTACTCTTGGGTTCTATAGTATTTCTATAATTATGTAACAAGAATAGTGTTGCACTGTAATCTATCATATAGAGCTATATGTATGGAAAATTTTGATCAGTTTTTTAAGAAATGTATCCTGTTTGCAAAGGCACAATAAAGTTGCATCTTATAGACTATAGGCAATAAAGCTAACAATAAACCTTATTTAACACACACACAAAAAAGGGTGGAACTGACAGGAGTTGCTAATTGAGTGAATATAGGGTTATAAAGAAATAGAAGAGCCAGGAATTACTATTGTCTTAGTCTATTCAGCTGGAAGTATAGAGTAGCCATTTAATTATATCAGGAAGACCAGAAGAATGGAAGGTTTTTTCAAATGGAAATTTGAACCAGCTAAAATACCAGACACAAAGGTGAGGAAAATGCCATATATTAATAACTGAGCACTAGATCACTAAACTAAATAACTGTGTTAGATGGGTTGGAATGCATAATAACCTGTATTATTTTTCCACACATCAGTCACATTATACCTCGTGTTACAGTTATCTGCATGATATCATGGCTGGATCAGGTACTAAAAGTGAAATTTTGAGCGAGTCATTTCTTCTCTTTGAGCCTCAGTTTTCTCAGGTGTGAAACAGGGAAATTGAGCCATGTTATTTAATTTCTTTTTTTTTTTACATATATTTCAATGATTAAATGAGACGATGCATGAAAGGTGCCTAGCATAGTATGTGTCACATAGTTCAATTCCAACAAATGTTATTTCCTTCCTTTTCCTCCCCAAATTATAAATTCCTTCTGAATAGAAACTTTGCCTCTGTAGCCCTCACAGTATGCATTACATTACCTTACATATAGAAGGTGAACACTATTTATTAGCTTAAATGGAATAATTACTTATTAAGCACTTGTTTTTAACCCCCATTACTCATTGATGATCTCAAATTATATGTGCAAATGTCAAGAAGGATTAGTTACATATATAATTCTTTGTACATAACATTGATATGATTTCTCTCTAGCCAATTGGTGGGTTTTTTGGTAAAGTCTATTTCATTGAAAACTACTTTCACTGACTATATCCTTTAATTGGATTTCCAATATGAATGCTTTTGTATACAACATATTCTACATGCCCCATTCAGTTCTTCTTTTGAAACTGAGGGACTTTCCTCACCAGTCCTAGGAAGAATTAATTTATTTTTTTTCTCACAGTAAAGGGAGAATATGAGGTAGCTATGTCTGGGAAGCCTGCTCTACAATTTATGTAGCAGTTACAGGAGTGTGTGTGCCTTCTCACCTGCTACCACTAAGAGAAGAAACTTGTGCTCTATGCTATATCTTTTAGGTACAGCTGCCTGGGCTGCACTACAATATTCAACATTGACATAAGGATCTGTGGGTACCAGGAGGACTATCTGTAAACACGTGGACTCAACTCTCCTCCATCTCCAGCCTATATTGGTTACGGAGAAGAAGCAACTTTAGGTTCTTTATGAGGTCTCCAAGGTTTTCTAGGCAATTGCCTGACTCTCTCTTTCCATTGCCTTAAAAAATCAGAA